AAAAAAAAAAAAAAAAAAAGAAGAAAAGCATACAGAGACACCGAACACAAAGTTCACAAAGTTCTCGGATCTGACTGTCTCTGAAGGGGTTATAACTCGGTTAGCGGGATATGTACATTGCTTACTTAGAAGGTTAGCTGTGAGTGCGGTACCTTGGTCGTCCTCCAACGGGGACAGCTCCGCACCTTCGTGCAGTGCTACATCAGACCCGCTGGAACTGTCCAATGTACACCTCTTGCTCGGCGATCTTCTCCTCGATCGTGGTGAACCGTCACTCTCAGTGTCGCTGTTTAAATCGTGCCGTGAGCTATCGTTTTTAGCGTAAATGTCGCCGTTACCGGAACCGGGCGACGTGTCTTGCGAGCGCTGGCCCTCCCCCCATTGCCCTACTAACTTCTCGTCGTTCTGGAACGAACGACGATCCGTCGTCGTCACGCTGCCGTGGGCCCACGCGGTCTCGGACGTCTCGCCAGCAGCGTTCTTTGCCGATTTCGTCGACGATTGTTGGTCGGCCACCACGTCGTACGTCGTTGCCAGACCGCCGCGACCTTTTAAAATCGGCACCGGCACGTCTCCGTAATCGCCGCTAACCGACGTCGTCGTGATCGTTCGTATCGTTCGTCCGGTTTGTTCCGTGTCGGTACTCTCGCGTACAGCTTTCGTCGTCGTTCTCACCGTCGTCATCCTCGACGTTTCGTCCCTGCTCGTTGTTTCGCTCTCACTCGTGACGAATTTAGTCCGAGGTCTGGAAGACGAGTCCTCCTTCGCCACCGTGACAGTCGTCGCAGTAATCTCTACTCTCTTTATGATCCCGGTGGTGGTCGTTGGTGGTTCGATCGTTTCCGTTTCGTTCGACAATTCTTCGGTCTTCGCCGAATAATCGCTCTTCTCCTTGTCCTCTTCCGGTTGCCGCGACTCTTTCTCGCCGATTTCGAGCGATCTCTCCGACAGGTCTTGGAGCAGTTTCTCGCTGTCGGTGGTTCGTTCCGCTAACGGTATGTCTGTCGTTACGTCTGGTATCTGCGAGTCGTTCGACGTGAAACTCGTAGGTTTACGTAGCTCGGTCTCGTTCGTCGTCGTCGTCGTCGTTGTTGTTGTTTCGTTCTCTACGGATTTCTTTACCTTCACCGGTATTTTACTTTTCGCAGCGCTCGTTTCCGGGGAACGGTCATGCCGAAGCTCTTGCTTCGATTGCTCTTTCGTCTTACGCTTGGGACTGTACGCTTGCGTGCACGAGGTGGTATCGCCGAAGTCTAGATGAAAGTCTGTTTTGACGGACGACCTGGTAGAGTGTCGCGGGGCGGGAACAGGTTGCTTTGTTGGAGCAGAAGTAGCATGCCTCTCTACAGTCCCATCAATCTCAGCCGAATCATGCCCTGACCCATCCAAAAGGACATGGACAAGAACAGGAACAAGGACATAAAGCACATTGATACACACTAAGAATTTTCAAGTCTAGCCCAGCTGCGCGACAGCTCGGACTGAAAAGATATCAGCGTGTTCTCACAATCAGAAGAAAAAAAAAAAAAAAAAAATAAAGAAACGTACCTGTGTGTGTATGCGCATACACACGGAACTCGTGTGCTCACACACGCATGCATATCATCGCGTTATCATATGCCTGTGTGTGTGTGTGTGTGTGTGCAGCACACATCTACATATATATATATAATATATATATATATATATATATAAGTTTGTTATTTTAGTTAGTATCAATACTGCAACAGGATTAGTATGTTTAGAAAAAAAAGAAAAATAACACTCATTGAATGGTGTCTAGTCGTGGCGCCTGAATCTTACTAAAACGTACCCTGCAAACGCGCGCGTTTCAAAATGATCCAAGTTTCGTTCTATCTAAACGAACTAGTTTACTTTTTTTCTTCTTCTTCTTCTTTTTTTTTCTTTTTTTCTCTTTTTCTTTTCGTGGCAGGACGTTTAAGTTTAAAGAAGCGTGAACTTCTCGCAAACTCGAATCGAAAGCGACTGTTTCCTGTAGCAGTGAAGAAAAAATTGAAACGTTGGTGCGAAACGACCGGTGGTATACTTCACTTACCAGCTACAAGTAAAATAAAAGAAAAATCCTCTATGTCTACGTAGTTGTCGCAGCTATACGTTTATTTCTTCGACAGTACTAATACAGAAAGAAAAGAGGTAGATCGGAGGCGTCCCAAGTATCGAAAATTGTTAAAACTGTACAAGAACAACGAGAATTTTTACCATTTTTTTTTTTTCTTTTTTTAACTCGACGATTTTCACTCTCTATTTATGAGGCAAAGAGGTATCTATTTAGTAAGAAACGTGCGCACAGTTATTAGTGTGAAAGCGTCGGCAGGTGCTAACTATGTAAGATAAAGCTAAATATAAACGAGGGCACCAAAAAATAGAAAAAATCTGCTAACGTTTATTGATCTTGGGCCTGCGATCTGTGTTCGTGAAATTATTCATACTTTCGTTTGGCCATACGTTACCTGATTTCGTCGCCGATTGCGCCTGATCGGCCAGGCTCTGCGCCCGTCTCGCCGCCTCCTCGGTAACATCTGGAAAAGCAGTTGAACTCGACGTGAGAAGACACGAGAAATGACGGGTTAAACATTGAAAGCAAATGATTTGACAAAGATTAGATGAAATGATGGTTTTTCCCTGCATGGCATACCTCGGTTCATGCTTCGCTAGTTGTGGTCTCCTGTTAATTCAATGAGATACATTACTATATCATAAATATACAAAGTATGACGTCTATTACGTTATGCTATAATAATCAAGAAATGAACAGAAGTGAGGTAATTTCTTTTTCTTTTTTTTTTCTTTTTTTTCTCTCTTGCTTCGGACCGGTAATCTCATTATCGACGGATAATAAAATCGTTTGGGCAGGTATTATTGTGAATGTTAAAAAAGAAGAAAAAGTAGCGTAAAAAACCTGGAAACATGCATCAAAGAAATGTTAAGAAAAGTTAAAAACGCACAAAACTGAAAATAATAACAGCAAATAAATAGAAATAACGTAAAAAAAAAAAAACATATTGTTTCACATATGTCTTTTTGCTACGGTCGATCACGTGTTTCGAATTTCTTTTTCGTTTAGATACGGCATACATACTATAAAGTGTGCGGTCGCGTCGAACGAGTTAACTAATCATCGCCCGTAACACTGGCGATCTGGACACTATTCTCTCAATTTTGCGATAATTTGCCATTGCAAATTCTCCACTTTATAGTACGTTCGACGTTCTTGCCTCGCGCAAGATCGCTAAAGTCCAAACATTAGTACGCTATAAGTGACTGAGAGAGATCGGAAGAGTGTTAGAGTTCAATTATGAATGAGACAGAGTGCAAATGGCCAATGGTCATTCGGCCATTTTGGTATGGCTACCAAAACATAAGTTATAGAAAAGCGTCAACTTAATTAATCATGTTACACACAGCTGGTATGTAATATATTTATAACGCAATTATTGCAAGATACCTTCGATTCTACTGTCAGTGTACTCGGCGGGACTGGGTGGTGGGGTCGCTGCCGTCCGCACAGACTTTCTTACGACTGTGGTGACGGTCTGTCGTGTCTGAGGCTCGAGGTGCTCTACTTCGCTAAACACGTCCCCTATCTTAACCGTACTGTCCGACCAACCGCTAGAGCTAACTAACCGATCTTTCGACGAACTACTAACTCGCTGTGGAATGCGGGACGATACTTTCTCGGTTGTCGATTCGCCGGCATCGCGATCAGGCATCACGTTACCGCCGCTCACGTCCGACAGTCTGATCTGCGCCTCGGCGCCTAAGCCGAACAGCGGATCGTGTACATCGAGAACCGACGAGGTAACCGTTTCCGTCGCGAACCTCACGTCTTTCCCGCGTTTCGCAGCTTTCGGCTCGGGCTTCCCCTGCCTCACGTACATCGTGTCCACGTTTTCGTACGAGTGAACGTCGGCCTCGTCTTGCAGCGGTACTTTGTCCCACACTGCGTCTCGTCTAATCTCTTCCAGAAACGCAGCTACGCTGCTTTTCGGCTCGCTGCTGTCTATCACGAATCTCTGCTCCGTCTGACTCGACAGTTTCTCTCTGACAGACTTTCCGGCATCCGATACTTTCTGCACACCTTCGGACACCTTCGAGCCGACTGTCGTTTCAACTTCTTTCGCGCCGGTTTTAACCTTGTCCTTGGCGGCTTTCGCAACAGCCGTGTCGAGATCTTTCAATTTTTCAGACGCTACCTCTCGGGCACGAGCCTCCTTCTTCTCCTCCTCCACGGCTTCCTTCTTCGTCTCGTCGACAAACTCCTTCACGTCGCCGGATATCTCATCCGCCGCGTGTTTCGCGCTTTTGATCAAGCCGGAAAGGAAACCGCCGCCCTTCTCCTTGGCTCTTTTACCCTCCTTCGATGCCCTGTCCTTCGCCGCTTCTGCGCCATCCACGATCATATCCACTCCGGACGAGATCGTTTGCTTCGCAGCAGACGCGTCTTCTTTAATCTCCTTTTTCAATTTGTCCTTTGTTGCCTTTGCTTCGTCAGCAACGCTCTGAGCAGCCGTCTCTGCTTTTGCATCCGTTTTCTTCACCGCGTCGGTAATTTTATCGTCCACGGCTTTACCAGCTTCTGACACTCTTTCATCGATCTTGTCCTTCGTATCTTTTACGGCAGATGAAATTTTCTCCCCGGTAACTTTTACATCAGCGACAACTTTGTCCTTGGCAGCTTCCACGCCGGCAACGGCTCGTTCCTTCGCCGCGTCCATCTCTCTCGCCTTACTGCCAATTCCTTCGCGAGCACGAGCTTCCTCTTCGGCAGCTTCCTTCTTTGTCTCGTCGACGAATTCTTTCACCTCGTCCGAAACTTCGTCCGCCGTCTGTTTCACAGTTTTGATCAATCCCGACAGGAAACCACCGGCCTTTTCCTTGGTTTTCTTGGCTTCTTTCGCAGCCTTGTCCTTTGCTGCCGCTGCGGTCTCCGCAGCCGCGTCAACTCCCGAGGAAACTTTCCGCTTCGCAGCTTCCGCTTCTGTTGTCACCTTGCCCTTTGCCGATTTCGCCTCGTCTTCAACCTTTTTCACCCCATCCGCTACTTTCTCTCCTACTGTTTTACCAGTTTCTGACATCTTTTGCGCGCCTTCGCTCACTTTCTCGCCGATCCTCTCCTTTGCGTCTTTCGCATCGGCCACCAACTTGTCCTTCGCTGCTTTCGCGCTGTCAACTACGTCGTGAATTTCAGTATCCACCTGTTTGTCAACATTTCTCACACCGTCAGCTACTCTTTCACCGGCATCGGATACTTTCTGCGCAGTTTCAGACATCTTTTCACCTGCTGCGACTTTAGCATCCTTCACGGCGCTCGTTATCTTGTCCTTCGTGTCCTTTATTCCTGCAGCCGCCTTGTCTTTCGCTGCAGCCACGTCCTCGATTTTTCTCTCCATTGATTCGTGCGCGCGAGCTTTCTCTTCGGAAGCTTCCCTCTTTGCCTCCTCGAGGAAGTCCTTGACGTCTCCCGTAACGTCATCGGCTGCCTGCTTTGCACCCTTGAACAGCCCCGTGAGGAAACCGCTACCCTTCTCCTTGGCTTTCTTAGCCTCTTTCGCTGCCTTGTCTTTCGCTGCAGCAGCACCGTCCACAACAGCGGCTGCTCCCGACGAAACTTTCCGCTTCGCCGCCTCGGCGTCGTCCCGAATTTCTTTCGATACCTTGTCTTTCGTTTGTTTCGCCTCGGTCGCTATTGCGTGAGCGGTTGCCTCGACTTTCTCTGCTCCGTCCGCGACTGTGTCTCCAACAACTTTACCAGCGTCAGCCACCTTCTCAGAGATTTTGCCTTTAGCGTCCTTTGCAATTGCAGCAGTTTTGTCTCTGGCATCTTTTGCATCCGCTGCTGCTTTGTCCCTTATCTCCTTTGCACCATCCACGAGTCCTCGAGCTGCAGACTCGCCTTCTCTCTCGGCTCGTCTCACCTCGTCCTCCACCTTTTCACCGACAGTTTTACTCGCGTCCGACACTTCCTGCGCGGCGTCGGATACTTTGGCAACGACCGCGTCCTTGGTGTCCTTTGCAGCAGTGGCAACTTTGTCCTTGGCGTCTCTCACACCTGCGACCGCCTTCTCTCTCCCTGCGTCGACGTCTTTTAATTTTCCCACTACTGCTTCGCGAACGCGAGCTTCTTCCTTGACAGCTTCTCTCTTCGTCTCGTCCACAAATTCCTTCACGTCCTCGGTCATTTCATCCGCGGCGTGTTTCACACCCTTGAACAAACCAGAAAGGAAACCGCCGGTCTTCTCTTTCGCTTTTTTAGCTTCTTTCGCAGCCTTGTCCTTTGCTGCCTCTGCGCCATCTGCCACTGCGTCTACGCCAGACGATATCTTTTGCTTCGCTGCTTCAGCGTCCTCTTTAATTTCTTTAGCAGCTTTGTCCTTTGCTGCCTTCGCGCCGTCAGCGATACCGTGAGCAACGGTCGCTGTTTTATTTTCGACTGTTTTCAATCCTTCGGTGACTTTCTCCCCAATGGTCTTGGTGGTATCTGACACTTTCTGCGCGCCTTGCGACGCTTTCTCTGTAATTTTATCTTTCGCGTCCTTTGCGGTCGATGCTACCGTATCCTTGGCTCCCTTCACATCCGAAACCACCTTGTCTTTCACGGATTTCGCTCCGTCAGATATTTCTCGAGCTGCCGCTTCTGTCTTCGCTTCGGCGTGTTTTACACCGTCGACGATTTTGTCCCCAACTGCTGCGCCAACGTCCGATACCTTCTCCACGCTTTCAGACATTTTTTCAGCGACTTTGTCTTTAGCGTCTACCACTTTCTGCTTCGCGTCTTTAACCTCTGTGGTAGCTTTGTCCTTCGCTGCTTCGATATCCTTCAACTTTGCGTCCGCTGCGTCGTGCAGACGATCTTTCTCTTCAGACGCTTCTCGTTTAGTTTCCTCGAGAAATTCTCTGACGTCGTCTGAAACTTCGTCAGCAGCGTGTTTCGCACCCTTGAACAAACCAGAAAGGAAACCGCCGGTCTTTTCTTTCGCTTTCTTAGCTTCTTTCGCAGCCTTGTCCTTTGCTGCCTCCGCGCCATCTGCCACTGCGTCTACGCCAGACGATATCTTTTGCCTCGCTGCTTCAACGTCCTCTTTAATTTCTTTAGCAGCTTTGTCCTTTGCTGCTTTCGCGCCGTCAGCGATACCGTGAGCAACGGTCGCTGTTTTATCTTCGACTGTTTTCAATCCTTCGGTGACTTTCTCCCCGATGGTTTTGGTGGTATCTGACACTTTCTGCGCGCCTTGCGACGCTTTCTCTGTAATTTTATCTTTCGCGTCCTTTGCGGTCGATGCTACCGTATCCTTAGCTCCCTTCACATCCGAAACCACCTTGTCTTTCACGGATTTCGCTCCGTCAGATATTTCACGAGCTGTCGCTTCTGTTTTCGCTTCGGCGTGTTTTACACCATCGACGATTTTGTCGCCAACGTCCGATACCTTCTCCACGCTTTCAGATATTTTTTCAGCGACTTTGTCTTTAGCGTCTACCACTTTCTGCTTCGCGTTTTTAACCTCTGTGGCAGCTTTGTCTCTCGCTGCTTCGATATCCTTCAACTTTGCGTCCGCTGCGTCGTGCAGACGATCTTTCTCTTCAGACGCTTCTCGTTTAGTTTCCTCGAGAAATTCTCTGACGTCGTCTGAAACTTCGTCAGCAGCGTGTTTCGCACCCTTAAACAATCCAGAAAGGAAACCACTGCCCTTCTCCTTGGCTTTCTTAGCCTCTTTGCTAGCTTTGTCCTTGGCAGACACAGCGGTGTCTGCCACCGCGTCTACCGCCCCTGTTACTTTCTGCTTTACAGCTTCCGCGTCGTCCTCGATTTCTTTAGATATTTTATCTTTTACCTGTTTCGTCTCAGTCGCTATCCCGCGAGCAACCGCCTCAACTTTACCCTTGGCTGTTTCTGCCCCATCTGCGACGGTTTTACCAGCGTCCGACACCTTTTCAACGCCCTCAACCAACTTCTCAGCAATTTTTTCCTTGGCGTCCTTTGCGGTCGCAGCAGTTTTGTCTTTAATATCCTTCACGTCAGCCGCCACTTTGTCTTTCGCTGCTTTTGCATCGTCCGCTACTCGGTCAACAGTGGCATCTGCAGCCGTTCCAATCTGTTTTACGCTCTCCGCTACTTTCTCGCCAACGGCTTTACCACCATCGGATACCTTCTGCACAGCCTCGCTAACTTTGTCGTCGACTTTGTCCTTTGCATCTCTCACAGCTGCGACTCCTTTGTCTTTCGCTGCGTCGACGTCCTTCAACTTTTCTGCCACTAACTCACGTGCACGGGCTTCCTCCTCGGCAGCTTCCTTCTTCGTTTCGTCCACGAATTCCCTCACGTCTTCCGACATATCATCCGCGGCGTGTTTCACACCTTTGAACAAACCGGACAGAAAACCACCGGTCTTTTCCTTGGCTTTCTTGGCTTCTTTCGCAGCCTTGTCCTTTGCTGCCGCTGCGGTGTCCGCAGCCGTGTCTATCCCCGAGGAAACTTTCTGCTTTACAGCTTCCGCGTCCTTCTTCGCTTCTGTTGCCACCTTATCCTTTGCCGATTTCGCGCCATCAGCTATATCGCGCGCTATTGCTTCTGTCTGGTCTTCAACCTTCTTCATCCCATCCGCCACTTTCTCTCCCACTGTTTTTCCCGCTTCTGATACCTTTTGCGCGCCTTCGCTCACTTTCTCGCTAATCTTGTCCTTCGTTGCTTTCGCGCTGTCAGCCACGTCGCGAACTTTAGCATCCACCTGTTCTTCGACTTTTCTCACACCGTCGATCACTGTTTCACCGGCAGCTTTCCCGGCATCCGACATCTGTTGCGTGGTGTCTGACACTTTGGCAAACACTCTGTCCTTGGTATCCTTCGCAGCAGTCGCAGCTTTGTCTGCCGTATCCTTTACGTCAGCAATTGCTTTGTCTTTCGCCACAGCCACGTCTTCGAGTTTCTTTTCTACCGCTTCTTGCGCGCGAGCTCTTTCCTCGGAAGCCTCCCTCTTCGTTTGGTCGAGGAAATCTTTCACATCGTCCGAGACTTCATCGACCGAGTGCTTTGCACCCTTGAACAATCCAGAGAGGAAACCGCCAGTCTTCTCCTTAGCCTTTTTAGCTTCCTTGGCAGCTTTGTCCTTGGCAGATGCCGCGGTATCGGCCGCTGTATCCACGGCTCCCGACACTTTCTGCTTTATCGCTTCGGTGTCGTCTTTTATTTCCTTGACCACCGCCTCTTTCGTTGCTTTGGCGCCGCTGGATACGTCGCGGGCAGTTTTGTCCGCTTTTTCCTCGATCTTCTTCGCACCTTCCGCAACCTTCTTCCCGACTGCTTTACCAGTGTCCGATACTTTCTGCGCACTCTCGGACACAGTCTCGCTGAGTTTGTCCCTGGCGTCCTTCGCGGCAGACGCAGCCTTGTCTTTGACGTCTTTCGCGTCTGTCGTTATTTTGTTCTTTGCTGTTTTTGCACCGATAACCAGATCTTCAACCGCTGTCTCCGCTTTCGCTTCGACCTCCTTCGCTCCGTGCGAGACCTTCTCGCCTAACGTTTTACCGGCATCGGACACCTTTTGCACAGTGTCGGACACTTTCTCGCTGACTTTGTCCTGGGCGTCCACCGCAGCGCCTACAACCTTGTCTCTCGCATCTTTCACGCCAGCAGCTGCTTTTTCTCTCGCCGAGTCGAGATCCTTGAGCTTCCCCGCCGCTGCCTCGCGAGCACGGGCTTCCTCCTCGGCAGCCTCCTTCTTCGTTTCGTCGACAAAGTCTTTCACTTCCTCGGAAACTTCGTCGGCCGCGTGTTTCGCGCTCTTGAACAATCCAGAAAAGAAGCCGCCGGTCTTCTCCTTTGCTCTCTTCGCTTCCTTTGCAGCTTTGTCCTTGGCCGACGCTGCAGCGTCCGCAGCTGTGTCCACGCCCGAAGAAACTTTCTGCTTCACAGCTTCAGCATCCTTCTTAATTTCCGTGGCCGCTTTGTCTTTTGCTGCCGCCAGGCCACCGGCCACGTCCTCTGCGACTGCTTCCACCTTGTCTCCCGCCTTTTTCACACTATCCGCCACGTTTTCTCCCACTGTTTTACCAGCGTCTGTTACCTTCTGCTTGCCATCGGCCACTTTTTCGCTAATCTTGTCCACCGTGTCTCTGGCAGCTGTCGCCGCCTTTTCTTTGGCGTCTTTAACATCAGCGACTTTTTTATCTTTCGCCGATCTCGCTTCGTCGGCTAGTTGTTGAATCTTGGTGTCTACTCTTTCCACCGCGTGTTTCGCTTCGTCGCCAACAGTGGACATCTTTGCACCGATCGTGTCCTTCGCGTCCTTCGCTGCAGTCGCAACCTGGTCCTTTGCATCTCTGACATCCGCGGCTGCTTTATCTTTCGCTGCTTTGACATCCTTTAACTTTGCATCCGCTGCATCGTGCAAGCGAGCTGCCTCCTCCGACGCTTCCCTCTTGGTTTCGTCGAGAAATTCTCTGACGTCGTCGGATACTTCGTCGGCCGCGTGTTTCGCACCTTTGAACAACCCCGAGAGGAAACCACCACCCTTCTCCTTGGCTTTCTTAGCTTCTTTAGCAGCTCTGTCCTTGGCAGACGCTGCACCGTCCACCGCAGCATCTATTCCAGAAGAAATCGTTTGTTTCACGGCCTCGGCGTCGTCTTTTATCTCCCTCGCTGTTTTGTCCTTTGCTGCTTTCGCATCTTCCACGAGTCCACGAGCAGCTGCTTCCGTTTTGCTTTTCGCTTTCTCCGCGCTGTCTGTCACAGCTCTGCTGGCGTCCGATATCTTTTCTCCAGCGTCTAACGTTTTGTCTTTGACTTTATCTTTCGTGTCCTTCGCTGCAGTCGATAACGCGTCTGCGGTGTCTTTAATACCTGCGATTAACGCGTCTTTCGACACTTTCGTACCATCGGCTATCTCTCGAGCAGCAGCTTCTGCCTGTTTTGTACTGTCCACCACCTTATCGCCCGCAGTTTTGCCAACGTCCTTTGCCGTCTTCACGCCATCGGACACCTTCTCACCAACCTTGTCCTTGGTGTCTTTCACAGCGGTTGCCACCTTGTCCCTTGCCTCTTTAACCTCTGCAGCAACTTTATCCTTTGCGGCGTCAACGTCGTGCAAAGTTCTCTCCACAGAAGCGCGAGCACACGTCTCTTCATCAGCTGCTTCCTTCTTTGCCTCGTCCAAGAGGTCCTTCGCGTCCTCGGAGACCTCCTCGGCTGCGTGTTTCGCCCCTTTGAAGAGACCCGACAGAAAACCTCCGCCTTTTTCTTTGGCCTTCTTCGCTTCCTTCGTAACCTTCTCTTTAGCCGCGTCTGCGCCATCAGCAACCGCGTCCACACCCGACGAGATCTTTCGCTTCGCCGCGGCGCTGTCCTCTTTAATTTCTTTCTCCAGTTTGTCCCTCGCCGATTTCGCACCTTCGGCTGCCTCGTGAGCAGAAGCTTTTGCTTTATCGCCGACTGTTCTCACGCCGCTCGCTATCTTTTCTTCCACCCTCTTACCAGCGTCAATCAGTTTCTGCGAGCCGTCCGCTACTTTGTCCTTGGCGTCCTTCGCGGCTTCCACAGTTTTATCCTTCACCTCTTTCACGTCGGTAGCCACTTTGTCCTTTGCCGCCTTTGCGCTATCGGTCACATCTCGAGCCGCGGATTCCACTTTTTCTCCAGTATATCTCAATCCATCTTCTACCTTCTCGCCAACAGCTTTCCCAGCGTCCGACACTTTCGTTTCAACCTTATCCTTCGTGGCTTTGACAGAGGTCGCGATCTTACCCGCTTCGTCTTTAATTCCCGCAGCTGCCCTGTCTGTCGCTTCGGCCACTTCTTCCAACTTCCTCTCCATTGCTTCGTGCGCAAGAGCTTTCTCTTCGGAGGACTCTCTCTTTGCTTCCTCGAGGAACTCCTTAACGTCTCCCGAGACTTCGTCCGCGGTGTGTTTTGCACCTTTGAACAACCCAGAGAGGAAACCGCCGCCTTTCTCCTTCACTCTCTTCGCTTCTTTCGCGGCCTTGTCTTTCGCTGCCGCTGCACCGTCCACCGCCGAATCTATTCCAGAGCTTATTCTCTGCTTCGCTGCTTCGGTATCTTCTTTAATTTCTTTAATCACTTTGTCCTTTGCTGCTTTGACGCCGGCTGCTGCATCGTGGACAGTGTCTTCAGTTTTCTTCGCAGCATCTGTCACTTTCTCTCCCATGATCTTACCGGTATCAGATACCTGTCGAGCAGTTTCGGTTACCTTTTCGCCAAGCTTGTCTCTCGCGTCTTTAGCAGTGTCTACGATCTTGTCTTTAGCTTCCACGGTGTCGGTAACTACCTTGTCCTTGGTCGCTTTCAAAGCATCAGCAGCATCTTTTGCAGTGGATTCTACCTTGTGCTCGGTCTGTTTAATACCGTCCACTACCGTATCGGTAACAAGTGTTCCAGCCTCGGACATCTTCTGCGCTCCATCAGCTATTTTGTCGCCAACAGCCTTCCCAGCGTCGGACACTTTCTCGCTAACCGCATCCTTCGCCTCTTTCACAGCAGTTGTAACCTTCGTCTTTGCGCCTTTCGCATCCGCGACTGCCTTGTCTTTCGCTGCATCCACGTCTCTCAACTTCCCCGCCACTGCGTCGCGCGCACGAGCTTCCTCCCCGGCAGCTTCCTTCTTTGTTTCGTCGACAAAGTCCTTGACGTCGTCGGAGACCTCGTCTGCCGCGTGTTTCGCACTCTTGAAGAGCCCCGAGAGGAAACCACCTGCCTTCTCCTTCGCCTTCTTTGCCTCCTTGCTGGCCTTGTCCTTGGTAGCCGCGGCGCCATCTGCGACTGCCTCTGCACCAGACGAGATCTTTTGCTTCGCCGCGTCCACGTCTTCCTTGATCTCTTTTCTCGCTACCTTTGCACCGTCAGCCACTTTCGCTTCAGCGTCTTTCACTCCGTCGACCACTTTGTCGCCAACAGCTTTACCAGCATCGGTTAACTTCTGTGCACCTTCGGTCACCTTATCGCTCACCTTCTCCTTGGTATCTTTGGCAGTAGCGACAACTTTGTCCTTGGCATCCTTCAAATCTGCGGCCGCTTTATCCTTCGCCTCCTTTGCACCGTCGACCACTCCTCGAGCCACGGATTCGCTTTCCTCCGCGGCTCGTTTCACTCCGTCGCCAACAGCTTTGCCCGCGTCCGACACTTTGGCAAACACCGTGTCTTTGGTATCCTTCGCTGAAGCTGCAACCTTGTCCTTCGCCTCTTTCAAGTCCCCAGCTGCTCTGTCTCTCGCTGCTTCCACGTCCTTCAACTTTGCTTCAGCTGTGTCGCGCAAACGGTCCTTCTCCTCCGACGCTTCTCTCTTCGTTTCCTCGAGGAAGTCCTTGACATCATCGGAGACTTCGTCGGCAGCGTGCTTGGCGCCCTTGAACAGTCCCGATAGAAAACCACCGGTCTTCTCCTTGGCTCTCTTCGCTTCCTTCGTTGCTTTCTCTTTCGCCGTGGCTGCGCCATCCGCGACTGCACCCACGCCCGACGAAACTTTCTCTTTAGCAGCGTCAACGTCATCTTGGATCTCCTTCGCTACTTTGTCCTTCGCCGCCTTCGTATCCTCGGCTACTTCGCGAGCAACTGCCTCCGTTTTCTCTCGAATCTTTCCCACGCTGTCTGCGACTTTTTCTCCGGCCGTTTTACCAACGTCTGACACTTTCTGCCCAGCTTCGCTGACTTTATCCTTGGTGTCCTTCACCGCAGTCGCAGCTTTGTCTCCGACATCTTTCGCGTCCGTCAGTATCTTGTCTTTAGCTGTTCTCGTGCTTTCGGCAACTCGTCGAGCAGCGGCGTCGGCAGATTTGCCAATTTCCTCAACTTCGTCTGCTACCTTTTCACCCAGACCGGACACTTTTTCACTGATCTTGTCCTTGGTGTCAATCGCAGCGCCTTTGATTTGATCTTTCGTATCCTTGGCAGCAACTGCAGCCTTGTCCTTTGCCTCCTTGACGTCAGCAACTGCTCTGTCCTTGGCTCCAGTTACGTCTTCGAGCTTCCTCTCCATTGCCTCGTGCGCACGAGCTTTCTCCTCGGAAGCTTCCCTCTTTGTTTCCTCGACAAAGTCTTTCACGTCGTCCGAAATCTCGTCCGCTGCTTGTTTCGCACCTTTGAACAAGCCAGAGAGGAAACCGCCAGTTTTCTCCTTGACTTTCTTCGCTTCTCGGGCAGTCGTGTCTTTCGCTGCCACTGCGCTATCCGCTACCGTGTCTACTCCGGATGTTATCTTGCGCTTCGCCGCCTCGGCGTCTTCCTTGATCTCCTTAGCCACGTGATCTCTCGTTGCTTCAGCTTCCTCGGCAATTTTATCGCCAACAGCCTTGCCCGTGTCTTTCATCTTCCGCGCACCATCCGCAACTTTCTCCCTCGCTGTTGCCACACCATCGTCTAGTTTTTCTTCGGCACGCTTCACTCCGTCAGCTACCTTCTCGCCAACAGCTTTGCCAGCGTCCGGCACTTTCTGCGCAGCCTCCGATACCTTCTCACCTACCGTGTCTTTGGCATCTTTCACGGTGGATGTTATCTTGTCCTTCGCCGTGTCGACATCCTTCAACTTTTCCGCTACTGCCTCGCGAGCACGAGCTTCCTCCTCCGCAGCCTCCTTCTTCGTTTCGTCGACAAAGTCTTTCACTTCATCCGACACCTCGTCCGCCGCGTGTTTCGCGCTTCTGAAGAATCCCGAGAGGAAACCACCGGTCTTCTCCTTGGCTTTCTTAGCTTCTCTCGCAGCCTTGTCCTTCGCGGCTGCTGCGCCATCTACCACCGTGTCTACTCCAGACGATACCTTCTGTTTCGCTGTTTCAGCGTCCTCCCTGATCTCTTTGGCGACTTTATCTTTCGTCGCTTTCGCGCCGTCAGCTACTTTCGCTTCGACGTCCTTCGCAGCCTCGACCACCTTCTCAGAGATCGCTCTATCCGTGTCTGTTGCTTTCTTCGCTCCCTCGGCTGCCTTTTCGCTCACCTTGTCTTTCGTTTCTCTAGCACCAGCTACAACCGCGTCTCTAGCATCTTTCGCCCTCGCAGCTGTTTTGTCCTTCGCAGTTTTCACGCTGTCAGCCACATCCTGCACGGATGAGTCTACTTTCTCGACAACAGCTTTGCCGACGTCCGACACTTTCTGCGCAGCCTCCGACGCCTTTTCGCCAACAGCATCCTTGGTATCTTTAACGACAGTTTTGATCTTGTCCTTTTCCTCCTTTGCCTCCGAGGCTACTTTGTCTTTCGCTGCGTCGAGGTCTTTCAGTCTTCCTTCCGCTGCTTCGCCCACCTGTTTCTTCGTTTCGTCGAGAATATCCTTCGCCTCCTCGGAAGCTTCGTCCGCAGCGTGTTTCGCCCCCTTGAACAATCCAGAGAGGAAACCACCGGTCTTCTCCTTGGCTTTCTTAGCCTCTCTCGCAGCCTTGTCCCTCGCTGCTTCCGCGCCATCGACGTCGTCGAGTTCCTTCGACTTCTTCGCCTCGTCCGGTACGTCGAACGTCAAACTCGCGAGGTTCCTCGAGTCGTCCAAAAATTTCTCCGTTGCTTCTCGGATCGCGATGTCCGGACTTGTCACCGGCTCCTGCGGCGGTGTGCTCTTCTCTCGAGACCTGCTTCGCGACGCTCTCGTCAACTTGGGACTTCGGAATTTGCTGAAGATGCCGCTCCTCTCCTCTTTGTCCGCGTGTTCCGACGCGATGTTCTGATCAGGAACTACGTCGGTTGTCAGTTTCTCAGCGACGGGCTTCGAGTCTTCGTGGTGCAAACTGTCGGCGACTCTCTTCGTGTCGTCCAAGAACGTAGCTGTTAACTGTCGCGCTTCCTCGTCTCCGCTGTCGAACGACGTCTCTTTGGACGAGCTCTTCTCCTTGGACGAACTTCTCTTCTTGCTCTTCAGCTTCGGGCTCTTGAACATGCTCAAGAATCCACCGCTCTTGTCCTTGTCTTCCCTCTCCGCTTCCTTCTTGCCATCCACCACTTGTTTATCCGGCGACTCGGACTTTGCGCCGGTGTGTCTTTCCACGCTTCGCTCCTTCTGCTTCTTCACCTCCGATCTCCCGTTCATTTCTCTGTGAGGAGCGCCTCTGTCCGCTTCTAGTTTCTTCTGCATCTCCGAGATGTCGTACGAGTGGCCGTTTATCTTGTCCTTGGGCGTGTCCTCGTCGTAACGAACCGGCGAGGTGAACGTGTGCAAGTTCGCGGAGTCGATGATCTCAGGAGCCGAGGGAACGACCGTAGCTTCGGCAACTTTCCGCGTGTCGTCCAAGAATTTCTCCGTGGCGATTCGTAGCTCCTCGTCGCCGCTGTCCAAAGACGTTTCCTTACCCTTCTTCAGCTTCTTTTCCTTCGACTTGGGACTCTTGAACATACCGAAGAAACCACCGCCCTTCTCTTTCTCTTGATCGCCTGCATCACTCGCTGCCACAGTTGCAGCACGATCGTCCGTTTCCTCGGAAGCTGTCGCTCGTGGCTCGTGGTCTTTCGTTTCCTTCGTCTCGTCGGTTTTGGTCGAAGACACCGCGATAACAGGCACGTGAACTCGTCTCGAGTCCTCTAAAAATTGCTCGGTGACCAATTTCACGTCCGGTGTCGCGCTCGTTTCACCAGGTTGCGTCTGGTGTTGCTCTGCTACTTTTGCCTCCTCGTCGCCACTGTCGAACGACGTGTCTTTCGACCCTTTCGACCTGCTCTTCTTCAATTTCGATCCCTTGAAAATACCCGAGAGTATGCCTCCCTTCTCCTTCGACTTCTTCGACTCATCTTCTTGCTTCTCCTCCTGCGCCGACGGATACCGAACGCTGTAAACGCTCTCGTAAGCGGACACTTGCTTGTCGGTCGCGCTCGGTTTCGTTTCCTTTGGAATGTTGGTCTTGGCAACTGTCTCTTCCGTAACTTTCGTGCCACTCTTCACCGGAGTGGTTTGTTTCTCGTCGATTTCCTTACCTTCTTTCGACAGCAGTTCCTTCTTGCTCACGGCAACGCTCTGTTTCCCGTTGGCGATTGCCACCGTGTCTGCGGCTGGTACCACCGCGTCGTCTACCTTTCGAACCGTGATAGTCTGAGTGATCACCGGCGGCTGATCCTTGCCGCCGGTCGTTGAGACCACAGTTTTCGACGCAACGATCGTAACGCTCGAATCACCCTTCCCATCGCGAACGAAACGTTGCTTAACTATCGTCGGCTCGACGACCGGCGACCGATCGATAACTATCTTTTCGTCGGACTCGTCCTTAGGCTTTTTGTCAAAGACGAACTGATCCCTAACGAAACTTTGAACTACAGCACCTCTTGCCTCTTTATTGTCCCGCGCATCATCATCATCATCATCATCATCATAAACCACCGACCACCCTTCCTTCGCTAACTTCCCCTTCTCTTTCTCTGCGTCTGCTATTACACCTGTTAATTAATTATTACATATTTTAGGCATCTGTAAACCTTGCAAAATGGAAAGAACACATTTTTTTTTTGTTTTTTTTTTGCTTTGCTTTTTTTTTTTTTTTTTTTTTTATTTCATTTCGTCATCATTAGTGTAAGCCGGCTCGCTCGAGAATTGCTCTTTGAGAACAGCGGTTAGATTCTCGTGTGGTTTTGTGCGTAGTACGTGTGTGCTATAGAGCAGCCGTCTTTTTGCCGAAACGGTTACGCTCGTATTTGAAGACTAAAGAAGAAAAAAATAAAATCTGATTTTCTTGCAAAATGTGCAAATTTAATTACACTGAGAATAACAGATGATTTTCATAATGTTGACTCGAACGAGCGCTTATCGCGTTCAATTCAAAAAAACATTTATCGGGCTTTTCAGACGAGAATGGCGGAACAAGCGTGTACGACAACGACAGCTGCTCCGTGCGTCCGCACAATTAGGCCACACAAATTTGGCCACTCATGCAACGCCAAAAAATTGCAGCAAAACCTTGCTGAAACAAATTAATGGAATGTGTCGAAGAAATAGAAGGCTATTAGTGGGTCATTAAAATGAAGACACTGAGAGAGTTCGCATTATAATACAGTAGATGTGAGATGTGAATTGAGAGGCAATCAAAATCAATAGTTTATTAAGTTAAATTAAAAGAAAAGCAAGCTGACAAATTTTGAAGGAATCCGCATCAGCCCTCCAGAACCTGTGAGTGAAAGTAAAAGATGATAAAGTAAAAAAGATGACAAAGTAAAAAAGAAGTAAAATGTCCCCTAGTGCCAACAATACTTCACAGTGCTAAATAAAACTTTCACGTAACTTGTGAATCGTGTCCAGAGTCAATGCCGAGTGCCAATACATTCTAAAAATCACTTAGACTCTAATATAAAAAAAAAAAAAAGAATGTAAATGTTGTAGTAAATTAATCGTTTCTAATGAAAAAAGAGAAACAGAATCAGAACGGCACGAGCATTCATTATTTTCAAAACAATGAAGTTACTGCTTCAAGTAATTTATTCCATGAATTGTCGTCTTGAAAATAACGAGGAAGAAGTTAAATTTATCCGTTGCTGTGTATGGTACAATACATAGCGAAAATCACAATAAAACCAAGAATAGAGCAGAAAGCAATTGACATTTTGAATTGATTTGAGTAGATATAAATTAAATAATCATTGAAAGTAATATGACACGAAATACATGACATTGACGATTTAAATTTCTGAATGAGAAACTTTAACTTTAGCTAATTAAAATTATAGTGGAGCAATAGCGAGGAATAAAAGTTTCACGTTTATTTACAATTTATTCTTCCTCAAGTACCTACACCATTCTTGGTTAAACAATGGTTTTCGTTTTATGCTTGTCGTATCGACGTAATAAAGTGGAAAAAATTAACTCGATCAAGCAAAATAACCGCTATACATTAAACAAAAATTTTTATAACAAGTAACACGCACTTGCATATGCTAATTGCAAAACACGTGTACAACTATCAGCGTTCTTAACGTTTCAAGTCTTTTAGCTAGTAACAAATTAAAGTTTATCTATTTCACTAAAAATTCGTTAGTTTCATTTATTAATAACTGTGATATTCAACTTGATTAAAATACTAACTATAATTCTTTTGTTTCCACGTTGTACAAATTGTACAATTTAACGAATAATAGAATACACGTTTGTATAAATAATACATGAAAGTATACCGAGATAAAAATGATCATTATTCGTTTCAATCGAGATAAACTACAGGTAGGAACACGATCTCACTAAAAAAGCGAAGTCTCGAGAACTATTTAGCACTAGCGACTGAAATTTCGTCAATAAGTGGTTAATTATAAGTCGTTCTATAAATAAAGCGTGACGTATTATCGCGTTAAATTAATCAAGCTGCTGCGTACATATTTTTTTTTTCCCCCCTTTTTAGAGAAGTATTATCGCAAATGATGATTTCCATTAAATTGCGCATCGAATGCTTTTGTTTTCTTTTTTTTTTTTTTTTTTGGTTTTTTTTTTTTTTTAATTATTT